TCGACCTCGGCAGCGGTACCATTAAGTACGAAATGAAACAGCAAAATCAAGATCAGGGTTACTGGAATCAGTTTCTCAGCGAAGACTCCAGCAGCAGTCACCTGAGTCTGCCTCAGGATGAGAGACTCCATTTCGCCAACTTCGAGCCTGAGAAAGTCTCTAACGGCTTTACTTCCAGGAGAACGATGCACCAGCATCATTACGTTCAAGAAAAGAATCAAAATCAGCCCGCGAGCGACGTTCTGAGCTACCAGAATTATCCCCGGTCGCAGAGTCAAAAAGGTTTTATCGATGGAAACACGAAGGATGAACACGAGCAATCTTATTGGCCTCAAGATCAACAGGATAACAGACTACATTTGGAAAGTTTCGAAGTCAAGGAGGAAGATCTTTTATCTTCACGTAGAGAAGTCGAGTGCTACAAGAACAGTTGTCAACCTCCGATGGTGAGCAGAGCGGAGTACAGCCTCTATCAAAAACCGAAGGGCGAAGATCTGCAGGAGACGGTGCGACGCAGCCCCGAGAGCAAGCCGTATCATCCTTTCGATAGTTACCACCAAATGTTCGAGCACGGTGACGCTAAAAACCAGCCACACAACCGCGTCGTTCATCAAAATTCGATCCGGACGAATCTGGACGAAAGACTTCAGAGTTGTTACGGCAATCAGGAGACACCGGAAACTGCTGAAAAGCTGTTCCACAACTCCGGCGTAGCAGAGACGTCGGTCCAGTCTCGCAATAGTCCCGAATCCTTCTTCTATCCCAGCAACGAACGTTGTCATTACACCTGTGAGATCCTTGAACGGGTGCCACAGATGATGAGCGCCGGACCGGCTCACGGAACCGTTAACAACTACAGCGATCCGGCTACCACCGACTTAGATCTGCCGCCCTTTGTAGATTATACACTAGTCGGGATGCTGTGCAGCTCCACGGACGAGGAGACGTCGAGCCTGCTGCCGGGATGCCCTCAGGATTCGCACAACTACATTCCTCATCATTAGAGAACGTTCTCGCTGCTCCTTTACTCATTTGTATTATATAAATAAATATAATATAGTGTTGCACTTTCTCTCCGAACCGACAGACCCGTTTATTTGCACATAATTTATTAAATTACTGCAAAAGTCGTTTTTTCATCGAATATTTTTCTTCGAATATTTAAGTAGTATTGAAGTAGATAATCAGAGCTTTCTAAAAAATATTATCGAAACTAGATTTTGCACTCGTTTAATACATCTGAAAGTATTTCACGAGATTTCTTCGACCAGGTTTAATATAAGTTTCAAAAATCGTGGAAGGTGGAAGAAGTAGAACTAAATGTAGCTTGGAAAAAGGTCACAAGATTTATTTGCAACTGATTTATTCGTAACAGATACTCTCACGATCACAATTGTTATGTATGTTATGCAATATTACTATTAATATTTTTATTATTATTATTATTATTATTATATTATGCCTATGCATTACACTTTCTCGATTACACATACGCGATATCTTCTTCTTTACTTATCTCTTACGAGAGTTTTCACGAGAGCGTTCGCATGCGGCGAACGTAACAGGACACACGAACGGAACGGATGCGAGACACGTCCGCGCGATCGCAGGCTGGCCAGGACGAGAATCCTAAAGTAATGCAGCGTCAGGAGGAAAAGATGCTACCGAAGAAAAAGGGAGACAGAGAGGAAAGCACTGATGGGATTCCAACGATTCAGATCTCTTCAGTATTGATAACGGATGTAACGATGGAGACAGAAGGCTTTGCTCTCGCGACAGACCGATCTTATAAATTGCACCATGGGCACGGTAGTGATTGTTACGTAATCCTTAAACGCGATTGTATCATTGCCTCGATCGGCAGTCGATCTTGCCGCTATTTGGTTCTTTCGATACTTTTCTTTTTTTTTTTTATATAAAAGACAAGTACTCTCATGTAACGCAACATACACACTGTTCGCAGTTTTTGATCAATTTAATCTGATTCAATAAGAGAAATCAACACTAATTAATTAACTGAAAGTCAAAGTTAAATCAAAGAATCAATCTCGATCTACTCGTCCTTATAATTTACTGCCAAACCATGTATAAATTTAAGCTTAATTTAATTTTCCTAAAATACCTAATTTAAAAAATCTTAATCGTATACAAATCAAAGTTTTTCTACCGCTACATCTTTATGCATGCATACAAAAAAAGCAAAATCTTATTAAGTTAGAATTACACAATGCTAAATGCATCTTCTCTTTTCATCTCATATATTTATTCCCTCAAAATTTGACCTCAATAATTGTCAATTCTTTTCATCGGAAAATTTTATCTCCTAATTATCTTTCTTATTTATTCCTTCAAAATTTGACCTCAATAATTGTCAATTACTTCTTTTCATCGGAAAATTTTATCTCCTAATTATCTTTCTTCTTGTGCTCTTTCTTCAATAGGTACCAGTCAATTCTGAACAAATTCAAACGAATAAATTTCCAACTCAAGCAAGACCATCCGTGATTCTTAACCAAGTATACAAGCAATTCACAATAAGTAATACGCTTATACGATATACGAACACTTTAATATTTAAATTCTCAATTTATTAAACTAAACTAGGACTAACTGTAACTATCAAAATCGATTGACAGAGCTAAGCAAAAACGCACAATTACACACAGATCTTTTTTACTTTCTTCGAAAAAAATTTCGAACAACAACGTAGTTCGTTAGAGTATCTTCTAAGGACAATTTGGAGAGTTAGACAATTAGGAGCTCGCTTTAAAGCATTGCCACACTTTATCTTATGTCACATGGTGCAAAAAATTATTATAAAGATGCATATAGGTAGGGCTTCGAAACATAAACAGCAACGCCGAAGGACCGCTATTCGACTTCACAGTTTAATGTTTCTTCGCCAATCCTCGAACTGCGTATATTAAGTGTAAATTAATATCGCATGTGGACACATCTATTTATACATGTTTACAACAATAGACTGCTCTTCCTTCAAAATGATGAGTATCCTTTTGAAAAATTCCATTTTTCAATCATCTTTAAATTATCTAAATTAATCTGAAGATCACACAATCTTAAATGACAATAATGACAGAGTTTTTTGGAAGTTGTAAATTGCGTTTGTAGAAATACATCTTGTTCTTTTTTCTCTTCTTACAAGGAGCGATGAAACGGTATCTACTTCCAAATGTACGAGAATCATTTCAATAGCCACGTCGTTGGTGTTGCAAAAATTTATAAATATATCTAAAAAAGAGAGCGATTCATTCAAGTGTGAGAATAAGTGAGCTTATCGAAAAATATTCAGTTCGAAGCAATATGATATTTAGTGTCGCGTGCCTGGAGAGTTTCGGTACATCGAACTTCCCTAGCGCTATCAGACCTACGAAAAAGTTTGGTCTAGTAGGAACCGTAGGTATACATGACATAGAAATCGCATATAGAGATCTCGAATGTACGATTCGAATTGAATAGTTTTTCGTCATCATAACGCGTTATTATTATCATCATTTCTTTACATAGCGGTTAGTTCGATGTATACGAGTTCTTCTTCTTCTCCGTATGCGATTTCATGCGACAAACGATGATGACGATGATGAAGGACGAGGAACGGTGTTTCTGAGAGAGAAGGGAAGCTTAATGTCTCCGTTCATCCTCGGGGATGCAAGGGTCTTCATCGTCTTGCGCGCGTGAATATGCGGTGTACACGTGCGTTTCGAATCAAGAAGACAAAAGAGTAATTACAGGCTACTACTTCTTCGCGGTACGCCAAAAGCGAACGTGTCATTTCCTCGAGAGGACCTCAAGGTAGCTTATTATCCTACCGAACGGTTTATCTTACGTATCAGCATATTTTGCAAACCGCCTTTTATCGGCTCTATGTTTGCATCAATTCGAAACAGTTCGCGTACGAACAATGATCGTCCATAAATGATCGAGGCTTGTTTTGCATTACTTTTTCTTTTTGTATAAAAGAAACAAATATTCCAGTGACACCTGTGTCCTCGATCAAGCAAAGAACGGATCATCGCTCGACACCGCGAGGAATTAAGTTTAATTAAGTAGAAGTGACTAAGTAGAAGTGAGAACGTGAAGCTAACAATCACAGCTATTGTACTGTACTACGAGTGTTTACGCGTCACGAGAAACGATAGTAGCAATGTTTAATGATATATAATGCAACTAAAAGAGTTTACGAGTAATCTTCCGCAAGCGACCCTTTTGTGTGGCGATGAGTATACTTGCGTGGTTACTAGTCAAATAATAGAAAAGGATATATACATATACGTGTACGTGTACATTTATAAAATTCTTTCTACGCGGAGTATACGCTGAGAATATACTTTCTCTCTCTCTCTCTCTCTCTCTCTCTCTCTCTCTCTCTCTCTCGGAGACGATTCTCCGATGGGCATTACTTAAACTATCGCTTGAAAAGTGTATGTAGACGAAGTAAGTAGACTAAATGGTACTATAGTCTTCGTTTCATTCATCCTATTCGAACGAAACATTGACTTTTACATTTACCTATCTCACGACTTCGTTGATACTACAAAGAGATTGCGAAAAGTATCAAGAGAAGAAGAAAATGAAAGTGTATGACTGAAAGAGTATGCAAAAAGTGAAAGGACAATTTGCGACAAAAAATACGCAAGGCATTGTCAAAAGAGAATCATCGGAAATATGTTGACATCGTGTAACACGATGTCTTCGTATAAATAACCTGACCTCGTATAAATACCGCATTAGGTATTTTCATGAAATTGCACAACACATTTACGAGACAATTTTCACTTTACAAAATCTTAGCCCCAAAATCTTTAGGACCTATGAGATTTTTATATGCAGAT